CGCGACGTTGGTGAACTTGAGGTTCTTCAAGCTATACTGTTGGTTGCTGAATTGCAGTCCGATGAGGCCGCCGGAGAACGTAAGATCTCCCATGAAAAGGCCCGATCCACCGCCGCTGGTACCTCCATTCATTTCGATACCGATGTGATTGCTACTGGTGGGCATGATGAAGTTGACATTGATAAGGTTGGTCGCTTGAGAGACCGCCCAGTTCAATGCATAGATCGTCTTGGCAGGATCCGCAGCGGTAGTGTCGATATTGAGGTTGCGTACGCCGATGTAGAAGTTGTTTGTACTTTGGGTACCTTTGTCGTAGCCATCAACCACAACGGTATTATTCAAAGCGCTCGAGGCAGCTTTAAGAGTGGGTAATTTGACGGCATCCCCGATAATCTGAGTATTGACGTAAAGCTGGATGGTGGAGTAGATGGCGTATGTTCCCGGCGGCACATATATGAGGGCAGGTTTTCCAGTAGTCCCACCGTTACACTGGCCCCCAGCACATCGACTACCATCTGAAAACTATGAGCTGTGAATCTCCGAATTTGACGAGGATACGTACAATCAATTGCAGCATTAAAAGCATCTGTGTCATCATGAACACCATCTCCTACCGCCCCGAAATCTCTTACGTTGCGGTAGATGTGGTAGTTAGGCGCATTGAGTAAGAAAGGGCTCGTTCCGTTGTGCGGCACATTCGGAAGCCAGAAGTCGGACTGGGCGCCTGGACTCGATGCGTCACATTGTTGGTGAGGCGGGTAGTGAGGAGGTCGATGTGGTTCAGGATGCCATGGAGCTACAGAGTTGTTCCTGTCGCCGAAGATACCATGTACGGGATTGGCCGGTGTCCAATTGAGAAGGTATGCAAATAGGTCCGGCCGGGTCGCATCTGGCGGTGCTGGTGTATTGTACGCAGTTGATAGTTGATGGAGTCCCGACAGGCACGCTAAAACTTGTAAAGACCTCATCGCAACAGCCTGTATCTACTACTCAGGTAGATGTCAGAGACCGAAAGATATACTTGCGAAGTCGAGAGCTACATGCAGCACATGGAGCCGGCACCCGGCGAACTTATCCCGCAGCGAAACTCCGGAAGTTGCGCCGAAATGAGAAGAAGCAAAACCAATGACCGCTGCCCTACACCCCTCGGTCTCCAGCAGACCCAAAGAAACATCTCCATTCTCACGCCGAGATGAGATATTCTCGGAAATGAGATATGGCAATTTTCGACTGTGTAGGACGCACAGAATCAAGGGGTATCAACGTTTGCGCTATACACGCTAGGCTGCCTGCAACTACATCAACACTGGCAAGCAGCATTCAGTGGCTCGAGGGCTCCCATGTCGAAGTGGCTACAATCACAGTGTCGTAGGTGCAAAAGGGATGGAGCCTCAAAAATCAGTGTAGATCGGGCAGCATCTGTTGCGAAGAGCTTCGTATGGTTTGATTAATGGGTGCTATGTTATAAGTGGTTTTCAGCATAGCGCTTACAAGATACGAGTTCTGACGTACCCCATACCCCGCACATCCGCGTAAAGGCGTCAAGCGGAACCACAAGATTACTTGCGACTATACTGTAGTAGCGTTTCGCGCACTCAGGCATGCGATACTAGTAAACCCTTGTTGCGGGAGAAAGGACGTGCGTAGCGATCTCCCCTTAAATGAAAGCTTGAGAAAACGTTGTTGCCGCCTCCGAAGCTTACCACTTAAACCATACCAATGCTGGTAACCCGTTACATGGTCTTACAACGCTCTTCCCTCATCTCTCTCGCCGCTCACCATCGCATAATCCACTTTTGTATTTCTACAACACCATCGCGCGCATATCAGCTCTGATCACAAGGGCATCCCAGCCATCATCGTCCTTTCCGGTCGCATGCGCCAGCCCTGGGTCGCCTCACAGTACGCGCGACTCAACGAAGTTCCATCAGCTATGCGAACCACCAGTGGCTTTGCGCTTCTAGGGACGTGGGATGTTATTCGGGGCACGATTCTTTCTGGTGTTCGTGAGACAGAAGACGCCATGTCGCCCTGCAACGCGCGCGAGTGTTGAATGCAGCCAGAATGGCGGTGACTGTGTGCAACTAACAACTACCACAGCCTGCTGACTGGGCGGCGTGATACAGTTCTCGTTGACAGACAATCGCTACCTCTAGGCAAAAGCAACGCGGGTGCCACACGGATAGTGAAACGGCCAAACACCCCGATGGGTCGGCGCGGCGTACTGGAGGTCCCCAGCACCGTGGTTGTTATAGGTGGTGTGCATCCAACACGGAATCGTTGAATGGTGTCCACGAATGGCCTTGCCCTTTTGACTTAAGGTATCATTTGTGACAAACGCAAGACCACTGTTTTACACCAGCCACATTCCTACTAGTTCGCTCTACCTCATTTCAAAAATCGTCTGTTCTAACATGTCTTCACCAGTACAACGCTTGTACAACTCTAGAGCGTCTTCTCCCATCATACTATGCAAATAGCATTCACCTAACAACTGATGGTACTTACCCCTTGGCCTCAGCACGAAAGGCGTATAGCCACCATGCAGGACGACGCCAATATCACCCGGCTGTACAGCTAGCGGACCAAGGCCGAAAAGACCTCTGGTCGTGCGGAATAGGCGGCGGATGTACAAGGCGGAGACTAGGACTTGATCGGAAGCTGAAGCTGTGGTGAGGTTTTGGAGTAAGAAGTCAACCGCATCCGCTGTATGGCGGGCGGAGCTTTTGGCAGCGGAGTTGCACTCGAAGTCAAGGCCCGCTGTCAGTGCTTGTGCCAGGCCAACGAATTCGTCTTCCTTGACGTTCACCAGCGGATCCGGGTGCACTAATGTCGCATCCCAGAATTGCGTGCCCTTCAATCGCGTCACCCGTTCATGTAGCTCGAGCTCCTTGATTATATAATCTGGCTTGAGCCCAAATCTCCGGAACAGCTCCTGAAATGCCGGGAAGTCATACAACGCGTAAACCCTATCTCAAGAATCTGTCGCAAGATATTTCCGCGTCTCATCCAACAACGTCGGTGGCGTCTTCTTTGCGAACAGCCGGCCTTGCCACATGACGAGCGCATTTCTTAGTCCAGGCCCTTTGATATACATGGGTACTGGAGAATTCCGGAGCATGACTTGAAGCCCCAGAGTCACCATACCCAAGTCATCTCAAGGAATGACGTGAGGACCTATTTGAACCTCACTGGACGAGCCGCCAGCTGTGACTTCTTGTACTACCCAAATGCGTTGAAACCATGGGCGACAACAGAAGCGCCGCAAAATAGCGAAAGTCTTCTCGTCAAGTATGTGTTCCGTAAGCCCAAGCATTTTGAACTGAGACCACCCCTAATCGGGTAAGGCGCGAACAACAAAGAGTCGTTCCTCCTTCGCTCTTCTCAGACACATCATGCTCGTGTTCACTCCATGCGCCATCTCTGTTCCCTCATATGACTTTCGCACAGAACATGCCTGAATATGGATACCTTCCAGCACTCTCTGCTTCTTGTATGATAAGTTGTATCAGCCTGCGGCAGTCCTGGCATGCCTCAATTCACGCGGCAATCACGGCAGGTCCAGATTCTCAGAAAGACCAATGGCTATGCACACTGAATAGTGTGGGGTTTTACACGAGACACGGTTCTGTCTGGCGCTTATGAGGTGGAGGACGTCAAGTTATCCGACCGTCACGGCGGGACGCTAGGCGCTTGAGCGTGGGGTGAAGCCAGAGTAGCGGAGACTACGTACAGCTGACGACTATTGCAACTTGCTCACCGGACGAGATTTCCCAATATGAGAGTTTCAGCAAGCTCTCATCTCAGCCTCTTGCTAGCCGTCAGCCTATCAGCTGCCGGGGTAGCTGATCAATCGGGCATCAGCACCAGAACGCTGTGATCGTTGAACAGTACTCGCTACCTCCAGCGAGAGGTAACACGAAAGCCACACGGATATTACAGTGGCCATAGATCGCGACTGGCCTGTGCGGCTTACTGCAGGTCCTCAACATCCCGGCTGTTATGAAGGTTTGCGCCCTTGTCACCGAATATCGTCTTGTCAGTATTGGGCAAAACCATGCTCAGGTGATCGCAAACTGGCCTGATCGACTGCCCATCCTGGAAGCTTCCCTGTCACTGGTCTCTCATACGTCTCGGTGTGTGCAATGCACTATCCAATGCCGCTTTACGATATTCACGTTGGTGAGACATCGTTTGCCTACGGAAGTCGGCACTAGAACCCTCTCACGATTGCAGGTCTTGGGATCCCCGGTACAGTGGAATGGAGACTACTGGACTGGAGAGCCAACAACATGGAACGAGTCGTCCCAGCTCCCGGTTGTGGTGGAGAGGATACATCAAGACATACCGGAAGGTTCGTGCGCTGGCTTTTCGCACGGGGGTGCAGCACCAACAACTCTACGTGTTACACCGGTTTGTGGCTGAAGTGGTATGAAACCACAACAGTCCAGTTACAGCAACCACCCCAGCCGAGTGAGCAGGACTGCCGATGGCATTACCATTCGATAGACAATGTGATCACTAGGGCACCACACAACTCAGATGAGCAGTCAGACAAGCATCATATCATCACATACGATGTGCAAGTTGTTAATCAATTTTCAGGATTCGTCATTTCTATGACAACGACGAGTACCAACAGGCTAAAGATGCAACTCATACCAGGTATCCGCCCACTCATTGCTATGCGTAAACAGTCGTACGGCTCAAGAAAAACAAGAAGACTATCGTTGCAAATTTTGAAGATGTTGCACCGACGCAACCAGTAGCGACAACGGGTGGAATAGAGATACCAGATTGCTTTTTCCAGGCCCGTGACCAAAGATAACGCTCACAAAACTAACAATCAAGAAAACGATGACCTAATCAGGAAAACGCCACTAAGAATATGCAAGAGTGCGCTCAACGCCGAGGGCAATGCGAAACGGTGTTTGGGAAGGAAAGCATGCACGCCACGGAGTCATGATATCCTTTTGTCGAAGCGGGGGAACTTGTGTTACTCAAAGAGAGTTCTCAGTCTTGACAAGCTCGTCGAAGGCATCTCGCCACTTGCGAACTTCGTCTTTTCCGGGCCTAGGGAGAGGCTTACGAGCATAGCCTCCATATCCGAAATGGGCCATAAGCCCAGCTTTGGTGCCAATGATGCCGCCTTGGATAGCCGCCCAGTCTCCTCGGGCAACGATGGCCTGGAGTTTGCGGGCTTCCGCGAGCTTGCCAGCCTCGAACAGCTCCACAAGCTTGACGCACGTCTTGGGCGCGATGTTGGCCATGCCGCCAATGATACCGGATCCGCCTCCAATCAGTGTCTGCAGTGTGAAGTCAACGGACCCGCCCATGCACATGAAGCCGGATCCAGGATCTGAGACAGTGGCAGCACGTGTTGCTGCGGCGATGCGGTTGAGCTTCCCGGTGTTGCCACAGGTCAACTTGCAGCCAACGATGTTCGGGTGCTGAGCCAATTCGATGATAACATCGGAGTTGAGATCCAGTCCAGAGACTGCACCGGGGTAGTTGTAGATGAGAATTGGAATGGGCGAAGCGGTGGCTACGTCCTGGAAAAACTCTTTGATGGTATCCTTCGAGAACAAGCCTTGGTAGTACGCTGGTGGAAGTACCAGAGCGTAGTCTCCGCCAGCCGAAGCTGCCTCTTCGCAGAGTTCGATGGCTTCCCGAGTGGACTGAGCACCACATCCAACGATTATGGGCATGTAACCAAAGCCCGCATCATCAAGAGCCTTGCGGGTGGTGTTGGTGATGAGATCACGTTCCTTGTGTGACAGGTGGACAGCCTCGCCGTTGGATCCCTGTGTGGTGATTCCAGCAACACCAGCTTTGGCTAGGCGGACGGCGTGGCTGGCAGTGGTCTCGACGTCAACGTTATCCGATGATGGTTCGAAGAACGCTACGGTGGGAACATAGATGCCAGGAACCAAGGATCGTCGAATACCCATATCGGTAGACTCCATTGAGCTGGTGTCGAAGTTGTTATATTGGCTCATAGTGTAGACGGACTGAACAGAATGGTGGAAGTCGGTATCTTGACTGTAGCTGTTTGCAGGAGAAGGTGCGTCGTGGTGCGGTGACATGATAAGAAGAGTATCGAATGCGGAGGTCTAGTAGACTTTTATACTAACAAAAGCTTGCAGAGAGAAGCGATACTTTTGACAAAGAATAAGTGGAACACAGCAACGACGAACGGAACGAATACGTCAATGGTTGATCGATGTTTGGTAACACCCCGAGGATAGTACAGGTACTTAAATATCTTCAAACGCCGGACACTTGACCTTGCAATGCGGAGTGTGGGGGTCCAGCTGACGGCGTCGTCAGGAGTGCGAGTGACGGCAGGCAAAGCAAGGTGCGTGAAGTGCATCAGAGAGGGAGGGACAGGCATCCTTGGTGACGACCAAAGGAGCGGTGACTCCCGCAGCCTGCTCGAGGTGCTGCTCTGCACGTAGCCGATACCAGGCACAGCTGTTTGCGCTTAGCTGGAGGGCTTGCGTGTGGCCAATAAACGAGGCGAGGATTGCTGATTGAAGCGGCGGTTGCTTTTTTGCTCACGTTGCAGCAAGCGAACAGGGGGCGAGAGGCTGTGAACATCGGATCTTGGCCGGAGGTGAAGTGCAAGGGGGGCACGCCTTGTGACGATCTTTTGGAATCCTAGTTGGAAGCTGATAGGGTAATTCTCGCCACAGCTGGCACCATGCGCAGGGTTGGCGGACTCAAAAGAGCGTTGATGGATACCGTTCGGGGGTGTTAGTGTGGGGGTGGGGGAATCGTGGCCGGCCTATTCGCATCATCTGATCCCGTTCAGCGACCCCGGCTACTCCGTCTTGCCCTTCCTGAGGTCGTGGTCCCAGTCGGTCCAGGAGTTAGAGTTCGGCGACCACTTACGACGTGCAGTAGAGCAATGCAAAGGGTAAGAGAAACGGTGGATTCCAGCGGTGATGCAAGACGTGGCAGACAGCAAGAAGTGGAAGCTCATCACAAGGCCATGCAATATCCGGGCAGAGGCAGTCATCGATATCCGACAGCCGCAGGGCCACCAAGACGGACCAAAATAGCGAACTTATCAGAGGCATCTCATGTCTCATCATTACAGAGCCTGGCCAGGATGACGACGCCGATCCCTCGCGATATTTTCCCCCACGCCCATTACTCTTGGTGGCGGGGTCTGGCCATAGCTCAAACCTTGAGGCTCTTCACAATCTTCACACGACATTGTTCCCGCAAAGGCGATTGTGTATGAGTCGTGCAATGGACACGACATCATCCTGCTCGTATATCCACCAATCCGCACATGGAAGGTGTCTGCATCGCTGCAGGTGCAAACCGACGGCGAGTGCCACGCGAAAAGCATCAAGCCGATGGATTCTCGAACAAAAGCGTTGCAACAATGTGCCGAGCGCCGTTCCGGCAATTGCGGTGCGCAGCAAAGTCATCGGCATGTTCGCCCGTTGCTTTTGTTTCCACAGCTTAGGTTCAAACGCGAGAAGGGGAATGCCTGGTACGCCGCAATCGTCGTACCTGATCCTCGGTGGATCTTTGTCGAGCGCCCCCACGCGATGCCGTGGCAGCTCGCTTCGGCATTCAGAACACCGCGGAATTTCGCATCGAATACTGGGACAAATCTCCTTCAATCGGCACACCTCGTCGCATCCAATCACGTCTATTCCTATTCATGCGTAAGCGCAATCTTCTTTGTTCAACCTTTTGGGAATCCACAGTCTGGCGGCACGAGGACGAAAAGTTTTATTGGCGTTGCCGTAAGCCGTATGCAGTCACTGCGTAGTGGCATATACATATGGATCCCTCGACGCCATTTCCTACTGCAGAACAGGTGTAATGTTCGCGAGGATGCACACAGCCTCGTCGCAAAGACGAGAACCGAGCGTGAGCCGACCATGCAGCCATCAACGACGACGCTATTACCCCACAAATTGGCGATCCTAGAGTCTCGTTTCCCCGCCTTCTTACCACGTTGGAACACCAGGCCACACACTTTCGACCTGCCGCTGCACCAGGCCTCTGACTTGCATGACGCCCAGTCTCGTCTACGGTCAAGTCTTGTGTGTCGTTTATTGCCTTTTTCTGCACTGAGGCCCTGAAATCATGCACGTAATACTGGGTACTGCCGGCTTGGATGATGCCCAAAAACTGCGAAACCTCAAGCCATCCGCTCATCTTGCAGGGTATACGTCAGTAACGCCCAGTTCCAGTAGCCTCGGCGGTCTTGCAATGATGACCCTAGAGGTACCTCATGTACCGACCAGGGTAACGTTGCAGTCATAAGCATAAGGAGACGGTTCTCATCCGCAGTTCCTTGGCCATGGTTACTTTTCTTCTCCACATGTGGATTTTAGTCCCACAAAGACAGCAGAAGAGCAGGGAAAATCTAGAAGATCCACTCCAACACCTGAAAAGTCCACCTTCAGCGACTTCGTCCGACAACTCGGCAACAACGCCGCACCAGACTTAGTGCTGATGAGGGGTGAGGGGTCAGCCCACATATGCGGGTCATATGGGCAATGGGATTCACTGGGACCAGGATCTCGCCCCTCCCGAGAGCGATACAGTGATCAATGGAGTTCGTGGTCTGATCGAAGGCCAGCTTCGTCAGCAGACGGGCCCTCCAGGGATGATTCTGATGGACGTCACTTTGGCACACTCCGCTTAGACGACTGTTCTTTTCCACCACATATTTGAGCGACAGAAGTAAAACTTAGCTCATTAGAACCTTGCACACCGCAAGAAGAATGTGTGTGGCAGTGGGCATGTCCGAATCATCACCATATGCATCGTTCAACTCCGCTCTAGCCTCGGTTACTTGCAACGATTCAAAAACAATGGGGACAGGGTACGCTTACCGCGCGGTCCACTTAGCTGTAGTTCGTCGATCTTTTGTCGACCGTGGGGGTCGGCTGCTATCCACAGTTCACATCAAGGCGAGCTCACTGCATGGCGGCAGTTACAAGCAGAACTTGTTTGCCACAACGTGCCGTGCCACCCTGGTTCGTTCTCAAGAGCCTCAACCGATCAAGTAGAGGCGATCGTGTGGGATGTTGGGCTGGTTTCAAGCACGCCTACCTGATGTAGCCATTGACGTGGGATGCCAAGTATATCCAGATGCTTCCAACTCAACCTCAGTTCCGTAGTCGATTTCCTCTCGGACACTTTTGCCCCCCTAACGATCTATCGCGGAAATTGATCGGAGTGCTTGAACGGTGAAGACGGTAACTGATCTTAACATTATCCCACGCTTGACGGTCTTCGACGTTCCACGAATTGCGCAGCCCGATCTTTCCCGTCTGACGAAGTACCGATACATGTTGAGTGTCATGGCAAAAGAGCTGGCATTGTCTTACCTTCACATATGTCTTGGCTGTTAGCTTCGAGGCACGGAAACCCACGTCGTGTGCGCGATTTGCGAAAGCCGCCCAGAGTCGTATGCAGTATGAACGAGGTGTCACGATGCTCTTCGCCGAGATCTACGGTATCAAGTGTAACATGAGTCCCACGTCCTACGGTCATGATAGGAGGACCAGGACGTGTTAATTCTCCATGCCCAGATGAGGCTTGAAAGCTTTCGATGACTTGCATGACTGCAAAGAGGCAGTGCACGTTAAACATAGGAGTGACGGCGGTCGCTCATGGCACAGATCTGCACCATCCTCGAAACGAAAAGGGAATCTTATGCCTGGCTACGAGCTAGTTGAGGGTAGGTCATACGGAAGTCATTAGCTGCACCGCGTGTGCGGCGTGTGTGCGCATAGAGCGCTGACGTCCGATGTTCGCGATGCTTCCCAACAACATACGCATTCTCACTTGGTTGCGAGAGTGCTTAGCTGGTTCCGCGGCCACGGAGGCTTACTCTCACTGACATCAGGGATATCTTCTATATTGAGAAGAAAGTCCCGTTCAAGGACGATATAGCCCCACGAATATTGCTGCAAGTGATCGAGTGGCAGACGTTCTGGTAACAAAAAAGCGATCTCGTAGCGACGAAAACGGACACACGCTTCACTGTCCAAGGGCAACCTGCTCGCCACTGCAGCTTGCCTTATTCGAAAGCTCGTTCTGATAGTTTGGCAATCCGCGTCTGGCAATTCGTTACGGCGCCCAACCTTACCAAGAAAACCTACACCATATGCCTGCACCCAGTCCCCAACAAGTTCCCCTGACCCTCCTACTTAGCCCAAGACTTCTATAGACAAGGTGCACATTTTGCAGTTGCGTGCCGCTTTTCTCAACACCTCTTCTTGCTTCTATACTATGACATATTCACCCTAGTCGGTCCGACAACTCTAGATGTTCCACCAATCCTCAATAAGCCACCAATCCACTCGCATCGGAATCTTAACCGAAATGCATAGTTCCGCAATTCGCTCGCTTGTCCATGTTGAATCCTTTAGCCAACAACCCCAGTTCTCTTTACGCAAATCGTGGGGTAGCACACCACTGTGTCGCGTGTTTGTTGGGATGCGAAACGCGAGCTGGATCCTGACGTTCCGCCGCTGCAGGTGGGCGTTCGTGTTCCTGCGGTGTTCGAGGCAGCTGGGCAAGGTGCACTCTATCGGGATCGAGGATCTGAGGAGGGGTGAGGCTGTTTCTCCGATGTTCTCCGGTCGGGAGTGTGGTTGAGGGTATAGGTTTGTGTTCTTGCCGAGGTGAACGTGCTCTATGAAGAGATGCACACATCTTTGGAACAACGCTCCAGGTGTCTGGAGAACACCCTTTCTCTGCTCCCAAACGATACTACTTGTACTGAATATCGTATGTCCTGCGGGCTCGACTATCACAAAGCGCGTGACTCCCCTCGGTGTAATTATACAAGCATCAAGAGCTCGTACACATACCACTTCCATGCGACAGTGTTCGCGTACATATCGTTGAAAGATATGAGTACAGCAATCGCACTTTGTCCAAGGACGAGTGTACATCAGCCCCATGTTCCGCCAATGCACTGGCTCGAATCACTGCGACTACAAACTTATAGCATCCTCGGTCTCTATTTCCCAACGCTGTGCTGGGTGTTCTTGTTTAGAGGAAGCCAATCAATGACACTACAGAAATTATCTCCTGTCTCTGCTTATCTTTGCTTAATATACCGTGTTGGGTTGTGCGCTGCGATCCTTCTGTTTGAGCCCTGACGAGCTCTAAATCACGTACTCGCCCGTCAATGCAATTCTCCTTTTCTTGGAAAGAGACAGCGAACAGTTGCTCGCATGGCAAATCACCTTTGATCTGTCGTAGATCAACATATGCTCAGACTCACTACGACAACCGCGTCGGAGCAGGAGTAAGATACTAAGAAGTCATACCTACATCGCTCGCATTCCGACGCTCACATAATTCCAATCCTCATCACCACAGCGCAACTTTCCGTGTCCTATCCCCAGAGAAACCTCTTCCAACCATGCCGTCATCCACGCAGGTACAAGGGGGGAAAGGAAAGATAAACACGGGTACCATGCTCGGGGAAGCGGCTTGCGCTCGTTCTTCAAGGAAGTTCAGCGGCCGCACAAATTTCTCTCTCTCTCTCTCTTCTCCCCACGCTGTTGTTGGAAAGTCGCGCGACAAAATGCGATACATCCGGACGCTCCATCACACATGGTACAAATCACTCGCGATGAGCAGTCTGCCTAACCTTGCACAGCCTCGCGATAAGCTGATGTCGCCGACCGGAACGTGCGGTCCAGGACCACGCGTAAACGTTTAATCAGTAGCGCGGATGACGACAGGTGATGATGGAAGTTGCGGATGCGTAGTCGTCATGCTGTGATGCAATATGTGGGTGATGCCGAGATGAGACCGCAAGATGTGCAGATCGTGGTTTGCAGGGAATCTTAACAGGGAACATGGGGGTGAAGAGATCTTCTTGTGTAGTGGGGCGAAGGATGTGGGAACGGTTGGTAATGTTTGGTAGTAACAAGCAAATTGGTGGGTATCGTGAGGAGATAATCAAGTAGCTTTACTTGGGTTGCCATACGGTCGTACTGCCATAACGTAGCGACGATGATCCGGTATTTCCATGATATACAGCATGCTCACAAAGAAAAGCACTCTGGAATGAAGACCTGTGGGTAACCGGAGCAAACACAATAAAGTAAGGCGTTTGGGAAGATCTTGTGTACATGGTATAGGGTGCTGGGTTGTAGTGGAGAGAGATAGGCGCAGATACATGCCAAAGTCTATATATATACAACAGCTCACAAGTATGCATCTCGCCATCTCCGCCCGCTCGTGCTTCACTTCTAGCACGTCGTGTTCCCCGTCTGCGTCACCAATCCCAAATGCCACGGCAGCGCATTATAACTCCCGCTCGCATTGGGCGCAATTCCCTGATACAAGAACCTCATGCCACACGGCTTAATCGTCAGTGTCTGATCAACCTGGCTTCTCACAATCTCCCCATGACTAATACTGTCCGACCACCTTCCATCAGGGAAAGCCACATTAGCCTCACCCATGAAGGGGTTCTGCTGCGTAGCTGCGAGCGGCGTCCAACTACCGCTCAGCGAGCTCGATGTCCAGGAGCGGAAGTAACGCAAACCACCTGGTGAATCGCCCGCGCCGATGCATTCAACGAGTAGGAGGTAGGTGTTGTTGTCTACGCGGTAAACATTTGATGCCTCGAAGAGGTCGTTCTTGTTGGGTTCGGAGAGTGCGATGACGGGTTCGCTCATGCCGGCGGGAAATTGGGAGAGCGGTGTTTGGCTGCGGTAGAGCCGGCCATTGTCGTCGTGGGAGAAGAGATGGCAGTTGGCGTCGTCGCATACGACCCACATGTCGACCCAGTAGCCTTGTTGCGGGTTCAAGAGACCTTCTGCAATGAGTGCGGGGGTACCGTTGGGGTAGAAGACTTCGGGGGCGGTCCACCCTGCAGGATTGGAAATGTCGGGGTTGGTGCTGTATGCGGCATTGCCATTCTGGTAGATGAGGTACCAGAGCTTCTGAGGAGCGAAGTAAACTGTGAGGGTGTCAGAAGAGCGCTCTGCATCTTCACGGCTTGCGATGTTGCAAGGACAAAGAGAAGGCTTCACGTACAAACTTCTGGTGCAGCTCTGTAGCCTGTGCCTATAGCACTCTGGTCAAGATAGTAGAATGGCGCTTGCTGAGCCTGGTCAAAGTCGGTGAAGTTGAAGTACACAAGGTTGTAACCTGATTCAACAGCTGTGCTGGCAAAGACGTGGTATACACCCTCGTGCTCTATGATAGAAGGGTCTTTGATACCAGCAATGTTTCTGCTATCTTTCTTTGGTGAGACTAGAATACCGCTGGACGTCCAGCTGAAAGAGCTAGGAAGGCCTCCATTCTGCCTCGTAGCCAGGGAAGAAAAAGAACGATGGGGGAGGTTGCGAGCCAATGCTGTGGCTACGAGAGCCGCGCCGGCAAGGAGAAATGAACGCATTGCGATAGTAGGTGCTTGACAACGGTATCTACCATGTTGAAGCTGGATCTACCCGTTCTTTATACCCGTTTCTTTGACCAGGTCCCACCAAGGCCGAGGTTTGGAGGCGAAAGCTGGGGAAAATGTTCGTTGACCAGGGTCCATAGTGAGGGCAATCTATCTGGGGTAACGCCCACCTTGGTTTTTCCGTCTACTTTTCCTCATCGATACGTTCTTGCGTGCATGTGATGGACACTAGCATCTGTATCAGGCTGTTTGCCTAGGGTGTGTATTTGAACGGGTTCAACGACATGTTTCCATATCCAGCCCGTCGATGTGCGTGGTTCGTCATTACTCTTCGGGGCATGCTCCGGTGGCAGAAGCGCGTGGCGGCGATGCTTTTGCTGTTTGCAATGGTTGACAGAAAAGCCGTGATCACCGCATCTCCTAAGGTAGATTGCGAAACCTTGGGCCACCGGGTCGATCATAGCAACCGGCGACCAGGTAAGTTTTGGGCCAACGTCCGATCACGTGGCGAAAGAGCCGCTGTTCATCCGGTGGTTAACAGTAGCTTGTCGTGTTCATACTGGGCGTTGGTGAACTCGCCCACCATGATGCGACCCTAATAATGAGCGCGAAATGTCTAGGCGATATTTTTCCATTATGTGTGCTGAACGTTCGTTCGTGGGCGGAGTTGGCACACGAAATCTCGTCAAAACTCCATGTGACTTGGAGTCGCGGGCTAACGCGATGCCCAGTTCGCTTCAAAAACAATACAGCTTACTTCCCAGCTGTGTCTTTTCCTCTGCATCTCTCTCTCGCAATAATACCCGCATGTCAAAACTTTTGCGACGCAGATTCTCTTGATTTCGTGGTCTCGAACGAAGATTGGAAAACATGCAACAATATTCATTGTTAGCGAAATTCAGCAGCAAAGCAGGATCAACATTAGAAAAAGGCACAGCAAGAGACTATTTATCTACCGTAGCTGCTTTGGCAACCATCTCCATAGAAGGAACATACAGAACGACACCATGCTTTCTCCCAGTCGTTACCACGTCCGCCGTAGAGGCTCCCGCACAACCGAACCAGGAACCGCAGTGCCATCATAACTAGCACCACGAGATATTACCAGCTTCTGTCCAAAACGGTATCGATCAAACTAACTGACATCGCATACCCTCCGCTCCGATACGACGAGCAATTTCCAAATTCCAAAAAATCTTATAGAAAAGCCACGTCGGCTGGGTGTTGCACAAAGGAACGATTAACAGCGTTGTTCGACACGTAGCATTCGTATGCATCAACGACATCAGACCCGTATGTCCCTACATGCACGCAGGTCCATACTATCATTCGGAATTTAATGCATGTTGCCGAACGAGGACTACCAGCTCGAAGATCCTTCTCAGCCTTTTCATGTGGCCGGTGCATGATGAGAAGATTCCAGAGGGGCATTTCTTCCGCTGTGTACGGCATGGAGGAGACACACCTTCACTGCCAACGTAGTGGACAGCTCGATACAAATAATGGTAAGCTCGACGATAACAACTGTGGAAATGAGTGTCATCGGTGTACAAATGGAAGAGAAATCACTTTGACGGACATGCACACACACACACAAATCTCAAAATCTTCAACTTCCTATTTCTTCCCATCCTACCCTTTTACCAGGTAAGACTACTTTACTTCACTAAGCTAGCATGGTATAATGCGAAAAGACCCAGGACAACCAAAAGGAGACCCAGTGCCCCCGCCTTAGTCACAAACGACCTTGTAATCCCAAAACCCATTTTTTGTGGAAAGAGAGAAAACAGAGCCCCCGTCCATCCTCCAGACCGAGTACACCAGTACCGGTATTAGACTTTACGTACAAGAGAGAGAAAGGAAAAAGTGTCCGTAGACAAAACTCAAACGAACAGGTGGTATAAGGAAAGATAACAACAACATAAAGAGAGAGAGAGAGAGAGACAAAGGAAATGAAGGGCTCTAGAACCCCAACGCAGCAACCAAACAATGAAGAAAAGGAAAAGAAAAAGACGGAAAGGAAATAAGAAAAAAAAAGAGTAGCTAGCTAGCTAGTATGTCGACATGTCCAAGATGTCCCAAAAAAAGGTATGAGCAAGAAAGAGCTTGTGGGAGGCCAAGCCATGCGCCAGGCAGGTGTCGTAAATATGGGGGTATTCGAAGGGCAAAAGATATTTTTGCGCGAACCAAAAGGCGAAAGGAGGAGAGTAATAGACCCCCAGCAGTAACAGTAACAGTAACTGTTCGCTGCTGCCAACCCAGACGCCGTCGCCAAAGTAGAGGGAAAAAAAACAAGGGTCGTGAACGCATATACAAGGCTCTCTCTCAAGCCCATCTTCGTGCAGCCCAACTAAACCGCACTCTTCTTCCTCCCAAACATAGTCCTCGTCCGACTCTTATCCCTCGCCTTCTTCTCCGCACTAGAATGATCTTGCTTGGCCGATCTTCCCGACCTCTCATCCGAACCATCATCCATGTATTTCTCCTTGTAGATCCAACTGTTGCCAACCATGCTAACACCTTTTGCCTCGGCAGCACGGTAAAACTTGGCCGCCTTCTTCATATTCTTCTTGCAGCCAACACCCTCGGCGTAGCAGTATCCAGCTTCAACAAGCGCATCGGCGTCGCCCCAGTTACCCGCAATTTCGTAGCAACGGAGAGCGAGCGACTTGTCTTGCGGGGCGCCCCAGCCATTGCCGTAGCACTTGCCTAGTTCGTAGATGGCGACGGCGTACTGAGCACGATGTTGCTTCTTCTTGGTAAGATCAGTAGTGCCGGGTTGTACTTCATCGTCTGCGACTTCAAGTTGTCCACTATCAACAGCGCGGCGAAGCCATTGTAAAGCTTCAGATTGGTTTACGCGCATGCCCCAGCCGTGGCGGCAGGCGAGACCATACCAAAACATTGCTTCGGGAAGACCGGCGCGAGCTGCGAGACGGAGGTGGTAAGTTGACTTGAGTAATTCGCCAGCTTCGTGGAGTTCAAGACCCATGTCGCAGTGCTGCTGGGCCGTGACTTCGCCAACTGAGCCAGCAGTTCGCGCACGGATGGTGCTGTTGCTGGAGGTAAGGGACGGGGCTCCGTGTTGCTGCTGCTGTTGGCGTGCTTGGTCAAAGGACCTTGGTGGAGATTCGGGTGAAGGGGGACGCGCCTGAGTCTGGTTAGGGTTTTGCTGGCCTGGTTGATCCCATGTAATCTGGCTTTTGAAAAAATCCTCGATGCCGACAGACTTGCGGTCGACGGCTCGGCCGCGAGGCAGGTTGAACCTGGTGTATGTGTAGGAGGGGGCTGGGTTGCTGGAAAAGTCGCCTGACCGACGGAAGTCCTCGCTTACCATGCTGACGGGTGTGTGAACTTGCTCACTCGCGTAGTGTGCGGTGGGGCTGTCACTGGAGTCCTGTCGTAGGAGCTGATTGTCAAACGAGGGTCGCATGTTTACGCTCTCGTCTGACGCTTGTCGTGAGGGCCCGACGTCAGACCGGACGTCTAGTGACGGACGGACGCTCTGTCGGCTGGTGGGTCGTGAGAAGTTGGGTCTCGAGAAGTTGTAGGCGGGGCGCGGCAGGCTGGAGCCGTTGACCGAGTAGTCAGATGCAGCTGACGGCGAGCGTGGTATCATTGTGGGGCCTGTAGCAGGCGCGAAGGGGGACTGGGCCCGAGACAGGCTAGAGCTGGGAGACAAGTTGCGGTTCTGGTGTAGAGAATCATAGGATCCGCTGAGGGACATGTCGTCGACTTCATCGTACCCGACGGCAACAGAGCGGATGCTTGGTGACTGTCGCGGAGAGCGGGTTGAGTGGAGGGAACTAGACGAGCGCGGGGGAAGCAGGTTAGAGCGTGGTTGCGACCGCGGCTGCGACTGTTGCGAGTGCTCAGAGCCACCAGACGGCTTCCTCTGCGGGCTGAGGAACATGTGCGAGGGCGCGGCAACGGGGACGTGGGGGCTGACGGGTGTGGCCTCGCGCAGGCCAATGTGAGGCTCTACGGAATCGGGCGAGTGCGACCTGGGGATGTCGAAGTAGCCCTGTGGCGGAGTGGCAGGACTGGCCTCGGCAATGGTGGCCATGGGACTTTGCAGGGGCCCAATGGCATACTGCATCTCGGGCTCGTCCATGCTGAACTGAGGGTAGTAGGACTGGTGTCGTTTGTCCGAAGACACCTCCTGCCTTGGGGAGGCATCGGGTCGTGGGGACTTGACGGGGCCTGCGTCTTCGTTGGGCGAGTTGACGGTCGAGTTGGACATGCTCGAGAAGTATCCGGGGCGGTTGCCGAACTCATTCTGGATGGTGAGAGGTGCAATCCGGCTCATGCGACGTCCATTCTTGTCCTGCTGCTCGAATCGCTTTGCGAGCAGGCGGCCCTGGAGGGCGAGGGCGTCCAGAGGAGAGAGGGCGGGCGGTGCTTCGCCGGTGCGCGGGCTTGGCAGGTCTGAGCCGAGGGTCAGATTGCTCATGCTGGCGCTGGCGAGGTTTCCGAGGCCGAGGTGGTTGTTGTTGTGGTTGATGTTGTTGAATGTGTTGTTAGCGGAGGAAGGAGGGTCAAAGGACTGCGAGCGGAAGTCGAGGCTGCCCGGGCGTTGCTGTCTGTTTGCCATGGTGAAGACGGACTAGTTCATGGACTCTCTGCGACGGAAGATTGATGACGCTGGGCCGTCATGCGCGCGATCGGGCAAAAGAAGCCGCCTAGGGCTGTGTCGGCTGGGTTTGGCGGGAAAAGCAGGTGATGACGGCGGTGGAAGTGGTGTGCTGGTCGTGTATCGGGGTGCAGATCGATGCAGTCGACGGCAACATGGAAGAAGAATGAATTAATGCAGCGCGAAGGAGCGGATACGACAACAAGCGTCGAGTGATGGTCTGCAAGGCCTGAAAGCAGATAGACGGGGGCGACGGCGATATGTTCTATGGTGCCCTCTAGCTCGTCGTCGCGTGCAATAATAGCTAAACTACACCTCCTGAAACCAGACGTGAACCGGGGATGCTCCCTGCACGCCAATAGGATCCCCTACCATCAGTCGGCCCTGCATCTTGTCCTGCGTCCACGACGTTGACCCACCACGCCGTCGCCCTGACACAAAGCCACACCGATGCACACATGGCAGCAATTGGCGGCCCTGTACATGACCAAATCTCGCTCTGCTGACTTTGCCATTGCTTTTCAACATTGCCGTACCAAACTTCCAATGTCATTCACGCGTCACCTGCATACCAGCCACGGCTCCGACTGCCTCGTTTCACTAGTTCCGACCCTACACCACCCGTATCCCCCCTCTCGGATTGCTTCCGTTTTGGGCGCTGCCCGTCGATAGGGTGGCACTCGCTTCGCGTCACTTCATTTGCTGTTGGCACATTGTGGAGCGGAACATGTTCCAGACTGTTGCTCATTAAACTGCTGCCCGTCCTGCGAACCACTGTTCCTGCAACGCTTCTGTGTCAAGAGCTGAGAATTCTGCCTATAATTGTGTGAATATACATCACTTGTCGACTGGACCGCCCGCCTGCCTGCAAATCTAACTCATGCAGGGAATAACTAGCTGAGACTCATTGCCAAGAAACGGCGCAAGGGGCTTTTACGTGATGCCCATCTGCTGCTCGCCCTGTGCCAATACAACTAAGCTAGCTGACCGGGATGTTGATCACCCGGGGATGTTGATCACTCACAAATCTCAGCACTCCCACACAAAACACGTGTTATCTCTCCACGTACTCAACCAAAATGGGCGACCGTGAAGCAGCT